CGCAAGTTTTTTTTTTTTTTTTTGGCCCCCCCCCCCCTCTGTTTTGTGGAAGATCCTTATGCCTCTCCAGGACAGGCATAAAGATCTTGCACAAAATGGGGTTTTTGCGCAACCCCCCACCCCCACAGCTTCTTTTTGCACAAAAGCCCCTTGCGCAAAAAGAAATGGCAGAAAATATGCTAATGAGATTGCAACTTATGCTAATGAGCCCCTCTTTAGCATATTTTCTGCCTGAAGAACTCGCAGTGATGACGAAGCCTCAGTGCATGTTACTGTGCTTAGAGCTGGATACTGTATAACTGTAACTGGGGCAGGAATTAAGGAGTGCAGTGGGCTCCAGCCCACAAAAGCTTATGCCTACACAAATTTGATAAGCTTCCTTTAAAGGAGCTACAGGGTTCTTCCCGCCCCCCCAAAAACAGACCAACATGGCTACCCCTCTGAAACTTTACGCCATCTTACCTTTTTCACCTCCCTCCTGTGGAGGGAATTTGAGCTGTCCACTGTCTACTTCTAGGCCGGGAGTGCAGTCTAGCGCTCTGAATTGCGCTTGATCGGGAGCTGGGGGCAATCGGGAACTAACTATCTCAGCAAGTCTGTCCGCAATGTGGAGGAAAACCTCTGCCCCACCTAGAAGAGAGACAGCTGGCTGGTTAGTCCCAGAAGCAGGGGATTCCAGGCTCAACCCATTAGTATTCACAGCACCCGGAGGTGAAAGAACAGGACATGGTCAAGAGCAGGGGTCTCCAACCTTTTTAAGCACAAGATCATTTTTTGTGCAATCCAAGATCCACCTTAAACCCAAATACCCTTGTCCCCACCTCCCTTGTGCCCCTTCTCCAAGGCCCCACCCCTGCTCACTCCATCCTCCCTCCCTCCCTCCCTCCCTCCCTCACTTTCACCAGTCTGGGGCAAAGGGTTGGGCTGCAGGCTCTGGTCTTGGATTAAGGGATTCGGAGTGTGGGAGGGGCTCTGAGCTGAGCTTGGGGCAGGCAGTTGGGGTGCTGGAGGGGTAGGGCATTTGGATGCAGGGGTGCTCAGAATTCTAGGTGCAGGCTCTGGAAGGGCATTTGGATGCAAGGGTGCTCAGAGCTAGCGCAGGGACTTGAGGTGCAGGAGGGGGTTCATGAGTGGGGCAGGGGTTTGGGATGTGGGCTCCAGCTGGGCATTGGTTACCTCAGGTAGCTCCTGGGTGGTGGTGCAGTGGGGCTAAGGCAGGCTCACCCCTGCCCTGCTCTTACCACTCCCAAAAGCAGCTGGCAAACTCCATTCTAAATACTGTTGTGCCCCCTCTCTTCTCATTGGAGATGGGATACAGGGTGAGAGAGGGGGCGCCTTGACATCAGAAGCCTCTTCTCCCTCCTCTGCCCTGCACAGACAGCAGGAGGCTCTTGGAGACCGCTCCAAGGCAAAGGGCAAGAGGTACACAGCAGTGGGGGGAGGGGTAGCTGAAGTGCTGGAACTTGATAATAGCCTCTTGGCCAAATCAGTCAAGATCACCTGTCAGAGGCACAAAGATCTACTAGTAGATCCCAATCTACTGGTTGGTGACCACTGGTCAGGAGGCTCATTTCCCCATCACAGAGTCTTGTTGCTGTTCAGGGTCAGGGTTCTGTAATTAGCAGGGGAGGGGAATGCTAGACAGCTGCAAAGCTTTTCTCATTATCTGAGAAGTCACTCTGCCAGCAGGGGTCATGCAGAAGACCTGTGTGATGTTGAGCAGCTCCTGCACACTTTGTATTTTGTATTGCACACTAAAGAAGATGGGATTGTTTGGCTCATTAGGACAGTGGGGTTTAGAGCTGGTTGTTAACGTTAACGTCTGTGGCTGGGGCCTCTAGATGCCCCACTGTATAAAAAAAAAACCACTGTGGTGATAAGTAACAACAAAACAAACTCTCCTCCCTCTCAGCTTCTTCTGTGGTAAGGAGCAGTCTGAGTCAGTTGCACTCCAGAGCCCAAAGACAGCCTTAAGGGGCTTCCCCCGTGCTCTGTGTTGTGTTTGTCTTGGCAAAAGGCTGGAGTGGACATGACCATTAATTAGGGATATTAGTATACAGTCATTAACAGGGCTCGACAAATAATATAATCTACTCGCCTGTGGCGAGTAGATTACAACCTGGAAGAGCTGGTGCAGAGTGATCTGTGCATGCGCAGAACGCAGAACTGTGCAAAACCGCGTGGCTGGCGAGTGGGGCTCACCACCGCTTGGCAAGCTCTATCATTAAGCCTGGACTTATCGATTAATTCAAACAACTCTCTCTCTCCCCCCTCCTAGGGTTGCCAGGTGTCCGGTATTTTTGCCTCCTGTCTGGTAAAAAAAAATTCAGAAAATACTGTGATCTGTGCATGCGCAGAACGCAGAACTGTGCAAAACCGCGTGGCTGGCGAGTGGGGCTCACCACCGCTTGGCAAGCTCTATCATTAAGCCTGGACTTATCGATTAATTCAAACAACTCTCTCTCTCCCCCCTCCTAGGGTTGCCAGGTGTCCGGTATTTTTGCCTCCTGTCTGGTAAAAAAAAATTCAGAAAATACTGGACACCTAAAGTGTCCGGTATTTTCTGATTTTTTTCCCAGCTAGGAGGCAAAAATCTCAGGTGCTTACCTGGTTCCACAGGGGAGCTGTCCAGCCTGGAGCAGGGAGACAAGATGGCCTGTTAGGGCCAAAAAGCCTCAAAAGCATTTCTTAAAAAAAATTTTTTTTGCTCAACAACTTTTGTCTCACCCTTCCCTCCCCCCCCCCAACAGATTTTTTTCCCCCAGTGTTGTTTTTTTTTTGGTGTGTCTGTGTTCAGTATTTTTGGTTAAAACATCTGGCAACCCTATCCACTCCCCCTCCTTGCTACCTCTAATACAGAGGCAGCAACGGGGCGTGGC